CGTAATTAAATAAATTACCGCGTATTTTTCTTATCTAAGATGATCTGATGGTATATATTTCATTTAGTTTACATTTTTAAGTATACTACGTTTATGCAGTGATCACGTTAGATATACAAAGAGGACGACGCAGGACGATTCAAAAAATGTCCAATATTTTTTTTTTATTTCTTCCCCATACGAAACCTATTCATGTTTTGTTTAGAGTCAACGCTAACATGATAGGGCCTATGGTATTTGCAGATATTCCAGAGACAATAAATAGGTTAACATATGAAACACCGTTGTTTCCGTATAGAGTACTAGTTTTAAGCCAGCTTTTCCAGTCGTAAATTCCATTTAACTAATGCAATAGTGTAAGTGTGTTTTTTATATCCTAAACTAATATGATCTGATGATATTTCAGTTATTTGACATTTCTAAGTTGAGATTTATTACATTTATGGAAAGATCAGGTTAGATATGATCTATGGATATGAAAAAAACCCACAGAAAATGACATATTCATATATATTGTTTATCGTGGGATCTGCCTCGTGTTCCAAAGTTGTCTCCGCCAACAGTTCCCGGACCTGGAGAGGTGTGTGTGGGTGAGCGGGGTGGGGGAGGGGGGGGCGCTCGAGGTGTGGACTAGCTCTTACAGTAACTTGCTTCTTCCTTAATGGTCTCTTTGTGTCTGAGCTACACGGTAAACCGGTACCATCTACTCTCGTCTGTCTACAGCATACCATAGCCTGTGGTTCTTTTTTTTTCTGTATTTTACTTACCGGTATTGCAAACCAATTACGTTGCTCTTGATCATGTATTGAAAGATATTTATAAACACATTGAAACTAACCTTAAAATGTGGTTATAAAAAAAAATCACAATAAAACGAGAACGGTACACGTTGCCTTTTTTTTTTTTCGTTTTTTTTTTTTTTTTTTTTTTTTTTCTTTTTGTTTTTTTGTTTTTGGTGTTGTTGTTGTTGTTTTTTATTAGCTGATAATTCGTCCCTTATTGAGTGAGGTGAAGTGACAGTCTTGTTGGTAATACAGTAAATATTATTTTCAATGTTTTTGACTTTTGTAATTTCCTGATCGCTATTCTGAATAGAGCTTATAATATTGATGGAGCATTTGGGAGCGTCATATGCGGATTAAATATTTATTTCTTAAAATTTGGGAAACACTAGTGTCAAGATAGCAGATCCAATTATGACGATATTTGATTTACTGCTCAGAGACTATGGGCCAGATTATTTTTGACAGGGTACACACAGTTAAAGCGGGAAAGTCGGCGCTTGTCCAACCGAATGGTATTGGTTTTAGCTTTCTTGTTTACGATAAGTATCAAAACTTTTTCTCTCGTAACCTAAAAAAATGAGCTGCAGTAGGCCACTGATGAATAAAGATAGATCTAAATGTAATGAAACATTTCGGAGTGTGAAATCAATCATCTTAAAAACTGATCAATCAAAACATCGTTAAGGATACGCGTTTATCCCAATAACACGTGCGATCCACAAACGCACAATTTTTTTACGCACGTTTACGCTATCTTTTTGTGGAATAACAACAATATCCAAGGCGCGGGGTTTAGTGCAAGGTCCATTGCAATGTTACGTAAAAACTACCATAGCTCCTAAATCCGGCAAACTATTCGCATTTGAAGTAGATTACAGCCGAAAAGTATCCGGGTCAACGAAACAATCTTTCAATTGTCAGCACAATCCACAAAGTGGACGAATAGAATTAAATAGAATGAAGGGGGATGAATGGTTTCTGTAAAACAAAAATTAGTTTATTGTTTCTAAATAAGGAAGGTTGACTTAATGAGGAAGGTTGATATAAGAGAGACACATCTGGCATTTAATTGAATAAAAAGTCGTCGATACTCTGTAAAACGATTGTAGGCCTACTAGCGTTTATCTTAAAATCCAAGAGACCTATAATTACACTGAGATAAGCAATTGTAAACCTCGCAAGACAGAGGGATGTTTAAAATAGAACTTTAATTGTCCATTCATCTTTTAAGAGGTAATTGAGACAATCACTTCAGCGATATAATTAACGCAAATGCTGCTTCAAGACATTGACTTGTATTGTTGCAAAAGACAAACGGTTTGCCATAATGACACTAAATTATTTAATGCAAAAGAGTATTACCGTAGGCCTACTAGAAAATGTCGTCTGAGACGTGCGTACCGTACCTATTCCAGCCTAATAATTGTGATGATAATACAGTGTAAGTTTAGATAAATAAAAAAAAACAAACAAACAAAACAAAACAAAACAAAAAACAAAAAAAACAAAAACAAAAACAAAAAAAAAAAAAAAAACAAAAAAAAAAAAAAAACATGCAGTCTTTGACTGTTCTGCTTGAGCTTGGGCTGAGATGATTTTTTTTAATTCTTATTACCTGATTTAACTTGGGCTTGTGACCATTTTATATGTGCTTTTTATCTATTGATATTTTGTATGTTTCGACAGGATTAAAGGCAAAAATAAATTTATATGGGGTTCATTCGATCATGCCGTTAGCCTACATAGACCTACAATAGGTACCTAATTTAACGCGGTTATGCTAATGATTGATGGGGCCATAAATACTCAAAATTAGGAATGTTTCTCCCACGGTTGTTGAAAAATAGTGTGCTTGAATTTTGTAGAATAGAATTACCTAAAAGAGGGTCAATGTCAAATACATTAGTGAAGCACCATGCCTAATAATAACTTACACGTCATCACAAATGCTAATCTTAGGTGGTTCTTATGCTTATTCACTCAATTTAGTAGCTTTTTCTGAAATGCATAAATTGGAGACTGTCACTCCAGGGAATAAATCACATTAATGATTAATTACATTAACACAATTTCGAATTCCGTAAATAAAACATGGCAAAGGCTTATTTATGGATTTCAAACCAACGGATTGCCTTATTATTATTATTATTATTATTATTATTATTATTATTATTATTATTATTATTATTATTATTATTATTATTATTATCATTATGTTTTTTTATTATGATTATTTGTATTCGATTTGGAATGTTGGAATATAGTGACCCGAAGCACTACAGACATTTTGAAATGTATTTTGATATTGGATGGCGAGCTAATGTTTGTATATTATTATTATTATTATTATTATTATTATTATTATTATTATTATTATTATTATTATTATTATTATTATTATTATTCGATTATGATTATTATTTTAAGATTATTATTTTTATTATAATTATTTTATTATTATTGAATATTATTACTAATATTATTATTACTATTATTATCACTATTATTTACCAAACAAACAAAAGTTTATTCGATTATGATTATTATTTTAAGATTATTATTTTTATTATAATTTTTTTTTATTATTAAATATTATTACTATTATTATTATTACTATTATTATCAGTATTATTTAACAAACAAACAAAAGTCAAAAGTTGACCCACAGTAAAAAAAAAAGGGGGAAAAAAAAAAAAGAAAATCAGAAAACAGAAACTGTATTAGTGCACCAGAAGTGACTGTTGTTCGTCTCTGATTGGCTAACTAGCTGATGAATAATCATACCGGTACCAAATATCAGCCGCGCAAACAAGTGTTTACACGAACCGGCTGTGACGACGTCAATGAGTAATACTTGGTGCATGGAGGATACTCTTGGCGTTCGAAAGTTGAGTACCTGAGGTCTGAATAACTCTAGGACACGTTATTTTTTACTCAGATAAAATGATTGACGCTGTGGTCAAGTTGCGTTTATGCATGTTTCGCTGTAGCTACAACAAAATTTTTTTGATTTGCGAATGAAATAAATTTCAACCCTTCTCTCCCACCGAGCAATACTGACATATGTCGAGTATATTCGTCATCAAACATAAATTATCCTAAATATATTATGGGCATTTTCTATAATTATGTATAATAAATATTTATTTTTAACTGTAGAAGGCCTACCAAATTAAAAACAAACAACAACCCGCTGTATTAAATCATTATTAAATAGGCCTATTATTAAATCAAATTTAGGCAGAATAAAATTCTGTGTTTGAGCTTGGTAAATTCAACTTAAAATCAACAAAAATCACAAAAGTAATATTGCTATTAATACCTTGAAATTTTACGATACAATAATGTATTTTTTTTAAACAGTTGTCCAGAAAATAAAAAATTCGCGGACTCCTAGGGTAGTGTCGCCCACGCCCGCCACCCCTTTCGGCCAACCTTAATTGATTTAACTTTTAAAATGATCAAATACCGATAAACTACATTCAATATACATTTCGAAATAATTACGGTATGTTTTATTGACATTTTAACATGTAGGCCTATGTTTTAATTTTATTTATTATTTTTTTATGAAGAGTGTTGTATGCCTGTTTTACGATTAATAATTACTAGTACATCGGGGTAATAACATAAATTCGGTTCTTTTAAAATGTATTGTACATATATATTAATTTTTTTTCGGTTGATCCACTAACTGCGGGTTGTGATTCCAGTTGATGACAACGATGAATTTCCCGTATTCCCATATAAAGAGATATCTTATATAAGGAGTACGAATTATAATGTAACAAGATAAATTATGATTAGGCCTGCTCCTCGTTTTCTATGAAGCTTAATCTTTTCTTATGAATTAGTTGAATTTTCGTTCCATTTCGTAAGTGTTTTTCCTAAGCGTCCGGAAGCTTGTTCAAATAATATTCAGGACAATGACACCGGCTGCTGCTGTACTAACTATCTGCTATATTTGCTTAAGTCGAAGATTTAAATTCTATTCGTAAGTTAAATGCATAAAGTAAATAAAACCTGATAGCTTTGTTGCATCTTTCCGCATACGCGAGCGACCCACAGTGAAAATGTGGTGACAACAAACGAAACTTCGAAAACAGAAACTGTATTAGTACGCCAGAAATTATGGTTGATCGTCTCTGATTGGTTAACTAGCTGATGAATAATCATACCCAATGTAAGCCGCGCAAAACCGGCTGCGAAGACGACGATGAGTAATACGTAATGCATGAGGATCCTGCAGACTTGATGTAGAAATGTTCAAAAGTCAAGTACCAGAGGTTTGAATAATAAGTAAATATTATATACTCAGTTAAAAAAAAAATGTATAAAGTGAACGCTTATAGAAGAAATCGTCCAGTTGCATGTAAAGACACAGCATGAAATATCAAGCCGATCGTCTGAGATTACAATGAATTAAAAGGGATAAATAGAGCCAAATTTCGTATGTCTCGAGTTTTAAAAAAAGACAGGATGAACAGGAATGTCGATGGAAGTACTTTTAATGCGATGTTGGTTGAGGGTAACATCTTGGAGAGACCTATGAGTGATTCGTCTGGCATTGCAGATTGTGATGTCAGCTCCATTTCCAGCGTTAACGAAGATTTGATGAACGACATCCTGAGGGATTTCGATTCAACTTTGCAGTTGGAGGATGACAGAGTGGCCGCATCATCAGAACGGTTGCTAAGATACGTAGAAAATAATACCATTGGCAATGGAATATGTTTCCAGGGCCCATTTGGAGATCGAGCAGGTAGACCTAACATTTAATTTTACAGTTTTCGTTTTTTTTTTTTTTTTTTTTTTTTTTTTTTTTTTTTTATAATTAGCACTGATGTTAATTTTATCATTATCTTAACATCAAGCATTTTATGTTAATAACCATGAGGTCGATGTCTTCTGTCATAACAACTACCTAAAAATGCCAATGGTAGGCTATATTTAGCAATACGTTGATAGGCCTACAACAATTTGACAACTTATTGATTATTATTAATTAAGAAATCATCAGAAAGTAGATATAATTTGAAAAAAAAAATCTACGGCTTCAAATTTTATAAATGAAATTCTAATTAGTTGTGATTGTAGGTCAGTTTTACTGCTTGGATCACTGACCTACTTAATGTTGGTATTTCCGAATCTATCCGGTTCCACACAACACACTTTAATCTGTTTCAAGAACTAAACCCTTATGGTAGGCATTTCATCTAATCTAAACGCGACTATATAAATAGGCCTACTGTATATCATACAGCTGAGAGATTACGGTATAACACAAGTATTCTTAGGTCATCATTATTATCATCATTATTATAACAAGTAGAGGCCAATCTCATTTAGAAACTCAAGTTGGTCATGGTCAAAACCTACCCCTTAACTTTGAATATAATCAACTCTATAAGAAAACTTCGAAAATGAAAGTAAAGCAGGTGTATTTCACACCTTCATCACATTAACAATCGAAGTCTTTAATCAAAACATTTTATCAAACAATTTCATCTTTAATTCACATTGTGATGGATGTTTTGTTTCAGTTTCAATACAACCATCTATTTTCTCTATGATACAACAGGGAGTAAATAATTGTTCCATTATTGTCGTTAATGAGCCCGTCATGGTTGAAATCCCAATTACAAACAATCGAGCGGCCATGCATTTGATATGATGCTAGGTTTTCTAGATGAAAATAAAAGCTAAATAAGAACAGGAATGGATGGCTAATAAGAGCGTAGACCGGTAGCGACACCCTTAATAAAAGAGAACAGTAGACTGGTAGCGACACCCTTAATTAAATCCTGCGTATACGCTTGATTAGTGGGCTCTTTGTGCAAACTTTTCACACCGTGTAAATCCCGTGAGAAATTTGAATTTTAAAATGCGCGAGGCTTGCTCCTTAATTAAGGAAAATGTCAATAACTAAAACAGCAAATATATAGTGTATATACATACCTACGCCAAAAAAGAAAAAACAAAAAGAAACAAAGGAAAAAAAAAACAGCAATAATAACAACAATGATAGTAGTAGTAGTAGTCAATAATAATAGTAGTAGTAGTAGACAATTATTGTTGTGTCTTCTTAATAATGTGACCATTATAAGTATAATAATAATAATAATAATAATAATAATAATAATAATAATAATAATAATAATAATAATAATCTGCAAAATATTAATAATAATAATCTGCAAAATACTCCAATGCGTTCACCGTGTTCACACTTTGCTACGGGGACGTTGTTAACTTCTGTACCTGTCCACTTAAAACTCAATTAAAGTTGAAACCTCCAGGTTTCGAAATGCTGTTATTGATTAAAGATTTATTTGCACCTTAATTTACTACCATACGGTAATAATCAATAATATAATAATAATTTTAATAAGGTAAAACTGTAATAATTTTGCATCATATCATTCGTCAACACGTTTCACCACGTGATATAATGAAGCCTGACGGTTGGAACATAGGTTCTTTCGTTGCGCCGCATGCATGATATACGAGGGATGTCTGACTTTCGGGTTTGGAGCCTGGGCTGTCATAAATACCACCCAATCAATGTCAGAGCTAAACCTCAACAAGGGATAGCTCAAAGCAAAACCCCAGAAGATATTCATATACCATCAGCTATAAACTTACTCCTTGTCCACACCATCAAATTGTCTTGACAAAAATATGTGACATACCTAAATATGGTCATGATGACATCACATCATGGCCATATATAGGCACATTATGACTATATATGGGTTTGCAACAGTTTCTTGTTAAAATAAGATTTGATAGTCTGGACAGGTATTTACGCAGAAAATAAATAATAAATAATTATAAACTTAAAATTAATTTAACATTAGTTTTTGTTGGACCTGACTAATAAACAACTGGCAATTGTCATTTATAATAACATAATTTTAAAGCCATGGTTTAACATACAAAATACGCAATTGAAGGCATAGAATTAGAATCAGTTTATGATAGCTTGAAGAAGTGAATTATGTGTGTGTGGCTGTATTAGAATGTGCTTTGTTGGGATACATAACTTATCTGTGAACTGGAACACAAATAATTCTTGGTAGATACTTCTTTTGTATCACAAATTTGCACTTTTGATTTTACACCACCCGCGACGATTTCTTTAATGCGGGCTGCCCGAGGCAAACCCATGAATAAATATTTGCAATTACCAGTGATCAAATATAACATAAAAATTGCACAAGGTACCTGCTAAAGGAAAACATATTTATGTGTTATTGTGTTCTACTGTATTGGACTCCAATGAAATGAGTTCAGTCATCCGCTTTCTTTTAGAAGTGTTAAAGTTGGAATATGGCCGACAAAGCGTATTATATACCGTTAAAAGAATGCTCGAATTATTTTAAAACTGTTCACAAGTCAGGTTGAAACTCAAGCCCATACTTATCATAATAGACTATAGCAAATGGTTGTCATACCGTCCATCTTAATTAAACAATTCAAACTCAAATGTCAATTTCCCGCCAATTGTCAATAAATCTATGATACCCCGTCCATCAATCGTCTGCTGGTCGAGTGAGTGAGTGTTAGATGACAATCGAATCTGACAGCCGTGGAAGGGTATCGATATGTTGGGTGTTTTGATAAGGGACACCATGTGGGCCGGTTTAGGGTGGTCAGTCGTTTTACTTCATTTGTTTATTAAGGTGGTGTTTTGGTAGACCACCAGATGATGCGAATTTGAGGCAGACGTCGAACCAGATTCATCTGTTGTGTTTCATATTTAATTGGAATTTTTGGAATTCCAGTAATGGGAAGGTGAGTGGGTTTACCCGGGTCACACCACGTCATTTACGCAGACGGCAGGGGATGTTAGAAGATGTTCGTGTGAGCTGTGAGCTAGTGGTGTCTATCATTTGAAGCTGTAGAACATTCTGTGGCGAGAAGTAAAGACAGTAAAACTTAATATAGTGGATACAGTGATTCCACCCCACCCCACCCCCACTTTGTAAACAGTATTAGAATTTTAAAGCTTGTTGCTAGGAAATAGGCCTACACATTCTTTCCTGGGATCACTCAAAATGAATACTTCTATAAAATATGTAAATATGCACCAGCACATGTTATACAGTACATATATAGTTAGGTGTTGATTTGAATACTGTACAATTTCTAATTGACTCCTACTGTACGTTTGTGACCCATGCTCCAATAGAAACCCACAATAAACTTCTATCAATAAAAGTCACCCGCTAACCCAATAGTAACCCACTTGAATATTTGTTAGATTAATCAATTTTTCACTGTACACGATAATGCAAAAATTAACATTTTCGGATTTATAACGGCTACTGCTCAAGGGGTGGATTTAGCAAACTTACTTAAAAAAAAAATCAACTTAAATTCGCCTTAAATCCATAAATCCCAGGCCATGTCTTTTGAAATACAAAAATGTGATATTGTATGGTTCAGATTGGTTTCTATCCATGCATTTATAAAGTTTTGTTTAATAATACTATTAGTAGTAGAAGTAATAATAATAATAATGATGATGACGATGATGATGATGATGGATAATGATAATAGATGATGGTAATTATAATAGATAATATTAAAAATTGTGCTAAAGGCGAAAAGGATCTTGTGATTTGTCGATCATAATTATTATATATAGGCCTAGTTAAAGCTTAGTATAGTTGGGCCTAAGTTGTCCTGAATATTAAGTGGATCTCTATGGTTGTCGAAAATCCCTGATAAAAAATCATGTGAGATTTGTTGGCTCTTCGTTTTGACTATAATATGGTGATATGATGGTGATAAATTTTACTATATAAGTGTCATTTCCGGCCATCTGAGGTACTATTTCCTCAAATTTTCTCCAACCTGAACTCCAATCATGGTGGGACTCAGGTGGTTGTAAAATCACGGCTTTGAAGTATGTAAAGTACATACATCAAAGACAATGTTTTAAAACTTTATTTTCTAGGGAACATCACACATTAATAAGATCTCTATGGTTGCCGAAAATTCGTGATAAAATATCATGAGAAATTAGTTGGAGCTTTATATAATGGTGATGTGATGATGATGAATTTTATTAAAAGTGTCATTTCTGGCCATCTAGAGGTACTATTTCCTCAAATTTTCGCACCTCAGCCCCAACCATGGTGATTCTGAGATGGGTGTGGACTCGCGAATTGTCTCCCTACCCCACACCTTTCAAAGCAGATCTGCTCCCCCTTCGAGTCGCACCTGACTCAGAGTATGTCTTAGAGACTGAGGGGAGGGCGCATCATTTTTTTTTCAGGATGTGATCTGGTTTTCATGCCCATTTTTCGTGATTATGACTATTTTGGATAAAGAATGTTTAGAGCAAGGAGAGTGGATTGAAGGCCCAACCCCAACCCAACTAAATTTTTTAATGGACAAAAGAAAATTATGTTCAAATTTAAGTCTGAGAGTGTAATTTCCGGCCATCTGGAGGTGCCCTAATCATAAATTTTCTTACTTCAGCCCCCATGGTGGGGCTGAGGTGGGTAGATCCTCGGGGTCTGTGAAAGTCCCTTTCTGGGTCAACTCTCTTTCGAATTTTTGGATCCGCCACTACTGAGTTAGGCTAATATTATTTATGATGCGTCTATTGAAATTTTCACATTTGTCCTCTCAAAACAGTCCTTATACGTTCAGAGTGTGCTACGCCCCAGCACCCAACCTTCAATTCTGTCTCTTATACACATCTAGATGTGTATAAGAGTACTACTATATAGGTCTAATCATATAAACGGAATAGGCCTAGAGCTAGGTATCAAATAAATGCATACGAAAGCATAACATTAAGGCCAGTCCCCTTTGTCATTCGCAAAACCAACATGATTTTGGCTAGAGTACTACAGATACGCCTGTTCACGTTGAACTCTGCAGCTTTGATCGTAAACTTGAACCCACGACCCTCGCCACGTGTCACGCGTTCGATTTACGTAATCAGCTTATTAAGTTTCACATTGGACAAATACAATAATTACCTACAAGGACAGGTGTCATCGAGCAACATAAAAGCACGATAAGATATATTCGAGATCTGTTTATCATTTTAAGATATAATTTCAATACTTAGGTCTAAGCCTACTCCTGCCTACTCTCAATCGAGAGAACTTTTCAGTTTTCCTGCGGAAATTATGTCTACTCACTGAACCGCCAGCATACATAGTCAAGGTGACCGATAGAGAGATATGGCTAGGTTCCTCATGTTGTTTGCAAAATGTCATCTAAAATTTTAGGAACAAACTAATAGAGTCCCTACAGAAAGATACGTGATATACGGTATTTTGTAACCTCAAATAACCGTTTTGACCCATTTCCTTTTATAATGTGACATATTGACCTAATTTCAGTTACTACTAGATACTTAGGCTACACAAGCGGGGTTTGAAGTTCATTAAGGACAGTCGTATCGCTTTCTTCAAAAAGGATATCGTACTTCGCTAAAGAGATCAGATCAAAAAGGAAAAATAAACGTGACATCGCTTGATTGATGAGAGAATGTAAACGCCAACTATTCTTGGCTCATCACTTTATCTGACGAGGCGCACACAACGGATCGTTTAGTGACTGTCCGTCCAATCAGCATCGCCCAGTGCTCATAGAGTGGATTTAGATTTTTCGGCGACGGTGGAGCAACACCGGCTTTACACCCATTCACACTGGGTAATACGGTTGGGATGCTTATTGCTATAAACTCTAAAGCATTGGCCACAATACGGTACATGACCCTAGACCTGTTTATAATTCTCTTTAGATAACAACATGAACAAAAGGCATTTTGACAATCTATATTATGGGAATATCGAATTCTTAAGCGTAGACATTCTAAAGGATGTGTATAGGCCTATTATAATTTATATAAATTTTAATATATACTATAGTTATTTCGGTTATCATCCTGATTTCCATCAGCCTTTTGTGTTTCTTTTTCAAATAGGCCTATAATAGTTCATTTTTCACCGTGAGAATAGAATTGTGCAAAGTTTGATACTTAGTTACGAGTATTTTGTTTATAATAGAAACGATATATCATCACTTTGGTAGGCATACGGTTTCTAGTTTAACTCTTCGTGGTTCTTTTTCCCCCAAGCAAAGGCCAGTTAATTTCATAATCACCACCCCTCGTGTCCAGGGTACAGGCACATATTAACTGTAATGCCGGAAATGTTATCGTGCGAATGGCCTCTATTCGGAAAAGGTGAAATCAAAGGTTGCTAAAAGCACTGAATTTTAGCCAAAACTGAAACGCGATGCCATCGGTTGGTCTAAACTATTAATGTCATGCGCTATATCCAGACAAACTCTCTACATCGATCACGATTATTTGTATCCGATCGGTGACTATTTGTGAAATATAATTTCGTGTATAAAATTGCATAACGAATCGTGTTTAGCGGCGTCGTGAACACGAAACGTATCCGATATGTGAACGTTAATTTTGATGAGTAATGACGTGAGCGCGGAGGGGGTTCGCGTAACAGAAGCAGTGCATGTAACACCAGGTGACCTAATGATTTTCAAAATGATTAATATGAATAACATTAAGAGGTTTCCATTGAGCGAACTGTCAATCAAGAGTGGTTTTCATGATGTTACAACCACAGAAATATATAAGCATACGCCAGTGTCCCCCTAATAGACCCAAACGCATGCGTTCAAACGCATGCGTTGTGGTGAAAATACGCGTAACTAATATAGACCACACAGGCAACATTTAAAAAGTTAGTTAGTTCCATATTACGTTAATACTAACTGGAAATATAAAACCAAGCACGTACTGCCAACTTCAAATAAACACGGTGTTTGTCGCACGTGGCATTTCATCCGGAATGGCCAGGGGTGAAAATAGTTTTCAAAGCAAATCCCTGCACTTGCCTTCCCAAGCGTGCTCCACTTCCAGAGAAATTTGAAGCATTTACTACCAATTTATTATATTTACGTGTTATTTTACAGGTTGAACCAATAATAGGGCGGTATATCATTCGAATTTGGAACATTACTCAATCCAAATAAATGTATTTTCTCCTATTCTAAACCCCCTTGGTGTGTGAAAGAATGACGAGGAAAAACACTTTCCATCTACAACTAAAAAGTTTATATGCTATTTATTGTATGACTGCTCCCTGTTGTTATCTCCAAATAGGCCTACATTACATTTAAATTAATGTTTCTTTCGAAAATTTTTCTTCGAAATATAAACTTTCGAAAGAAATTATAGAAGTATATCTTCCACATTTTATGATTATTAATAATACACCATCTTAATCCAAAATAGCATACGCAGAAACTAAAACAATTTTGTTTACAACATAACTGAGAGTTACAGAATTGCTTGCATAGGCATGCCTCTGTCGATTCCTCGTCATAATATCCTTTAAAAGTAATATTTATATCTTAAGACTGAATATTTTTGTCTTTGAAGATACTTTTTTTTCCGGTCCGTAAGGTGCAACTTTAAACCTGCGCACTCAAAATAGAACTGTAATTTACAAATTTAATTTAAATCAAGGCAAGTGTCAAATGTTAAGATGTACGAGGTAAATCAGTGTCACATGTTTTGATTTACTTCAATCAACTAACAATACGTTTTCGAAGTTGTGACTAACCTTCAATTCTGCTCTTACTTTCACAACCGGATTTATCCTTTTCACCAAAACCATCTGATATCTGCAAGGATCCATCGATACCGTATGTGAGCCTATGACCATTATCATAAACCATGCCTTAAACATAATAAGGCCACAGCTACCCACTACTGTAGTGGCAGAGAAGATAATAACAAAATGATAAATATTAAAGAAAATTTACAAAAAAAAAAAAAAAAAAAAGAAAACCAGAACGTATATGAAAATATATAGGCCTATAAAACTGAAGTAAAACTTGGGTTTTTGAAGGCAAATTATTAGGGTTAAAGTTGGGCTCAGGAGGAAAACTATTTTTATGATATTTTGTACAACTGATTTTTTTTATTTTATTTTTAGAAACGTCTGTTTTTTCCCCTCCTGGGCCAGGCTTTAAACGTACTACCAAGATCCTATTGAAATATCTAGGACACACGGGTCCATCGCATTTGGGAATTCCCCTTCCTTCTTTCCAAGAAAACCGTTCGAAAAGAAAAATATCATCGGTTGTTGTAATAATATGTCATTGGGTTCAGCACAATGCATCAATTCCGCTTGGAATCACTTACTCCCCCAGGGGGATAGAAAGAACTATCTAATAAAAATGCTACTATTGAGAGGCCATACCGTAGGTGATAACCTCATGATCTTAAGTGACGGATTCAGCTGAGGTTAAGGCAAAATGCTGTCGGAAAGTTGACGAATTGCATTTGAACTACTGTAAAATGTATAATTGATGATGTGCGTTCGAACAAGTCAATGCTAGACTGCGTTTAAATTTAGGGCGTTTGATGTCAACTAACATAGAAGGTAACAAAATAGCATACAGTACTTACTTTTGATATAAAAGTGGAATTGAGTTGAATAGTGATTAAGACAATTATAACGTAGGGGGACTCGCTAGCCCCCAGTCTCTCTCCCATCCCTCGTTTCAAGCAGGGGCGGCGCTAGCGGGGGTCCAGGGGGAAAGGACCCTCCGTCAGGAATTTTTCAGCAAGGTCTTTGGGGAAAATAAAATATCGAGCGCCGGAAGTACAATTCAAGCATGTCTTACTAAGCAAAAATGTTAGGGATTAAAAACATGTTTAGTGCGAGCAGTGCTACCGATGGCGAGGTGTTGTATACTATTGCGATCGTAAAGGTTGCAGTGTTGCGCCAGCTCTTCCTCGGCAGGGGGTTGGTACCTCCGACAGGGGTTAGTACCCACGGCAGGTGGACTAGTACAACCGACATTTTTTTTAAATAAAGAATCCCATAATTTTTATTATCTTTTTAAAAATATTTCCCGACAAATTTCAATTTTCCCCGACAGGGTGAGGTGGGGGGGAAACTAGGCTTCCCCGACCGGGGGCGTGGACACCCTTGTCAGGGAGCTTGGACCCCTCGTCGGGGAATTCCTGACGCCGCCCCTGGTTTCAAGACTCCTAGATAAGCCTACCTTCTAATTTCAGGGTATTTAAACGCTTTTTTTTTTTTTTTTTTTTTTTGTTGTAACGATTAAAAAACAGCTCCACTCCTTCAGCCTTGTAAGGGACTTGTTTTTTAAAGCATCATTCCTGTAATTGACGAGTTACAGTATGTTCATGGATGTTGGATGTGAAAGGAATTAAAAAAAATACAGTTATTGAGAAAAAAAATACTGAAGGAGAAATAGAGGGGCCCAATGGGAGGGACTTTCACAGATGGAGGGTCTAAGACCATCTCAGTTGCGGCTGAGGTAAAAAAAATATCATTATGCTACCTCTAGATGGCCGGAAATGGAACATAATATCTTTCTTTCGCTATTAAAAAAAATAATTTTGACAAATTTAGAGTTGGCCACTGGAAGGTCTTATCATCCTATATCCATATTGTTAGTGCTCGTTGTAGACATATATATGTTATTACGTTAATTTTACGGTAGCATTTCATTTTTCAACGGTGATTATTATATAATTTCTTTTTCTTTATTTTATAGCGACTTACTGTGACTATACGGCTTCTGGGAGGTAAGGTTATATGTTCAAAAATTATGCCAAGTACTGTATATATTATTAAAAGTAAATTACTTTGTGGGCCCTTTACAGACAACGTCTTTATCTAAATAATCACCTAAAAAATACACACCTTATTAGGGGCTAAATTTCAAACGCCAGGGACATTTCTGTAGTAATACTTCCTACAAAATAGTAGGCTTGCTAATCTTAACTTACATTACAGATGTAGGTTAGCGAAACACATGAAACTAAAATTCATCAGTAATTAGTGTAGCCTATTTGTTTCTCTCTTTATAGATCGTTGAAGTTTATTGAAAACTATATTGACGAACACGTTCGTCCGCTTTATGCCAACACACACACGACCACAAACGTAATGGCAAGACAGACAACTCGATTCCGAGAGGAAGCCAGGTAAAATCTCATTCTCCCGCCTATACATCTCAGCCCTCTGTCAGTTGCGTGTCTTTTGAGGTGCGCAGGGTGACCCCTTCCCCCACCCGCCTCTTATTAAAAATGTCCGTAGCAAGAAAAACATCCTTCACGTTAAAAGTTAAAAATCACCTTATAATGTGATCTACCGCCCTGATCATCGAGCCCACTCAACCTTTCAGCGCCCACAATCATCCCAACCATTTAAAGACTCATTGAAACGCCAATGCTGTCCAGGGGAGATGGCGCTGTGGTGGGGCCAGGATTTTCCCGACGGGGGGGGGGCCGAGGTACCCGACGGGGGAGGGGGAGTTGCCCCGACGAGGGGTCAAATTTCCCCGACGAAACCAAAGTGGGCGTGGTCGAGCTTCGATTAAAAGGTTTCGAAAGTGGTCCTGGGGGCGAAGCCCCCGAAAATTTCGACAATTATTTAGGGGTTTCAAAGGCTTATTTAATCGATTTTAGAGTCTACAAATATGTAGAAAATACATATAAATTTTTTTTCTCCCCGACGAATTGTGCTTTTTCTCCCCGACGGGGGGGGGGAGCTCTCCCCGGCGGGGAGCCTCCCCCCGCTGGGGCCACCCCTGCTGCTGTCTCTGTGCCTGCCTAGCAGGTCTGTCCGTCATTTTTTGTTTGTTTGTCTGTAATTTATAATTTAATTATCTGATATCACTAATCATTTGTCCCGAGAAGTGAAAAAGTGATGAATAAGCCTTAATGCCTATATTGTCTACAGGGAAATCATCAAAACAAGTGTCAATGCGAACGAAGAAGATGTGTTGATATTTAGTGGAAGTGGAACAACAGGTGCAATACATAAACTAGTTGGTGTTCTCGAAATCAATAAAAGACGAGCAAAGAAAACAGTAAGCCAGAAATTTTGGTTGATCTATCCTGACTGAATGATATAGGCCTATGGGCCTAATAAAATTTATAATAACAATAGTAATCACAATTTTCACAATCGGTATCACTGTTATCGCTATCATCATCATCATCATCATCATCATCGTCATCGTCATCATTAATATAATATTAGCTTTACAACATTAAGCTTCATCTAACTAATATATTATTTTTCTTTTTTTGGGGGGTTAATTTAGGTAGTCTTCGTTGGTCCATATGAACACCATTCGAATATCCTTCCATGGAAAGAAGCTGGTGCAACGGTAGGCCTCATATCGTTTTTAATTTAGGTCTACTCCATTAACATGAAACATATACCGTTGTGGTCTGGACCTGCCTCATCGATCTCTGGGTGCTGGCTCGAGCCGCCCCTCGCCCATGAAATCTGTTGGTCTTTCCGGATGACTTAAAATGGACGTCCAGTGTACACATCTGGCTTGTGTGTACTTTAAAGAACCCATTGCATCTTTCGGAAGAGTAGGGGATTACCCCGATGATACGGTTTATTTCATCCCCTGTCGTGAAATGATGTGAACATGAGCTAATAATAAATAGGCGCCTCTTTACAGCGAATGTAGTCATGGACGACACCCATACGTAATTCAGCACAATGACGCTGAAAGTTATTCTCATATCTTTACAGTGGCAGCACCAGAGTCTGAAATCAGGGGGTGGGGGAGGGGGAAGTGAGAGGCAAGGTAAAATTATAGGGGAGAAATATGATGAGGTGGCCAGAGTTGGGCGTGGTCGGGCGTCGTTCAAAATATCTCGAAAATGGTCCAGGGGGCCATATCATTTTTTCTCCGCAATGGTTTTTCTTCTTTTTTTGTTGGGTGGGGGGAACAGTGGGGGAAACAATTTTCTAAGGGGGATTCCCCCGTGCCCCTGTAGCGCCGCCACTTTACCTTTACCTACCGTGCAAAACTAAAACGTGATTTCGTTTATCAACGTAACACATTTGATAATAATTGATATATCAGTGTGAACACAATTGTGAATTAGGTAAAATTATCGTAAACACATCTTTTAAATAATTGTAGGTTCATAGAATTCGAGACACTACCCATGGCAATATTGATACAAGACATCTACGGAGCTTGCTTAAGGTAAGATGACACTGTACCATTTTGTATTTGGAAGGGCAAGTTTGTAGGCTTATAATGAGTTAATAAAGTAATATTTTTACTAGGGTTTGTTCTTTGCAGTGTAATGGTTGTGAGCCTTCCCCCCTTTTGGTTTTCTAAATATATGATTGTTTAAATGAAAGCAGGATGATGATATTAACAATATTAATGATAATCATGATGATGATAATGACTACGGTGATGATGATGATGATGATGATGGTGATAAAGCAGATAATAATGATGATAATAATTATGATGATGATGACGACGACGACGAACAATTGATGATGATGATGAAGACGACGACGACGAAGACAGTGACGAGGATGATAATAATGTTCATGAGATCAGTGATGATATTATGGTCACTCATTTTGCAAAGCTGAACTGCTGTGCGGATTTATTTATTGCAATTAGACCTATATTAAATTAGTTTATAATGCATATAAATATTGTCTTTCGTCAGATTAAATGTTATTCAAATTTTCTCTCTTCTTCAACAGAAATATTCCAATTCGTCTTATTCGCTGATTGGTTGTTTCTCAGCTGCCTCAAACGTAACTGGAGTAATAACAGATACTCGGTCTATAACGTCAATACTTCACGAATATGGGGCTCTATCATTTTGGGACTATGCTACTGCAGGTAAGTAATGCTTTAGGCCTAATCATATTTTCTGTTTGAGACCCAACGATTGGTTTCGACGACTACATGCCTATATCAAGGCTCTGCTCTCCGACATTCGATGATGTCTCTGGGCATCGTTTGGCATAAGCTTGATTTCTATTAATTTGAAAACGGTGCGACTTCGTCCAAGAAATGTGAACCACAATAATTATTTTAGAATAATGCCAATATAGGAAAATATTGCTGGACAATAGTTTATTTTAACGCCGAAACTTGTTATATTTTTCATTACTATACTGTACACGTGTAATTTTGTACACGTTTGAGCTAAATAACATGATAATAATACATAATACAAATGTGAATTGATGCCTATATTGTGGGCCTTCTGAGCCTACCCACGTTTATATAATGTATTTATTTAAAAATATATATTTTAATTCATATTATTTATTTTTATCTTTTAGCACCATATTTAGATATAGACATGAACCCTACCTCAAATGAGTAAGTCTATTCACTATTATTTTCTATCAAAATCCTTAAATGTAGAATAATACGAACCATATAGAGATCACTGTAAGGCCTAAACAAAACTTCACACCGAATCCAAATTTTCGAATCAGAAAGCCTACCGAACGGATCAGAAAATCGGAGCAGTATGTAAAATAGGGAAGCTTCAGAAATGTCGGTTGGAGTTCGACTTGGATGCAGCTTAAGTCTAACGATTGAGAGTCTGGTTCTGCACTGAGTCAATGTCTAATTAAATATCCATATTATTAAGTTGCATTCACGTGTGATTCAGACTGCGTTTCTGATGCGCTGAATGCCATTTTTATTTTCGGTCGGCTTTCTGTTTCGAAAATTTGTATTCGCTGCGAATGCATCTTACAGCTGCTTTTACATCGGATCTTAACCAAATTCGGTTCGTGTTTGTGAAGCGTCCATATTCTTACACTGATTAGATTTTCTGATCGCTTCGTCAGTGGGCTTTTTTCATTCGAATATTCAGGTTCGGTGTGAATGCACCTTTACTCTGTGTTCGGATTTTCTTGTCAGATTTAAGCTTCCAATTCCGGATGATTTAAGCACATCACGCGCCACAGTACATCGTGTCAAGTAAACTCTATCAATCTTGTCCTTCTTTCTGTAAACTTTGCTGACTGAACGCAGATGTATTTCTCGTCACCCACTTCTCCAAGATATCCCATGTTAATATTTAGAAAAGGACATTTAAACGTACTGATTAAAACCTCATTCACACCGATATCAGAATATTCGGCTCAGACGATCAGAAAATTTAATCAGTGTGTAAATGTCGGCACTCACCACTGTCGTACGACCGTCGGCCGATAAATCCCACCTTCGTTCCATGTGAGCGTAAAGCCGGTTTTCCTCTAGGCGAATTTATTCGCGCGAATAGAAAGCGTCGGTTCATGCGCACGCGCATTCACGTTTCTATCGGAGTTTTCGCTTCATTTCAGCGAAATCGGTAGTACGAACTGTTTCTACTTTTTGGAAAGCGAAAAAAATGCGAAACCAATCAGAGCTCAGGAAGCGAACCGACGCTTTCCATTCGCACAAATAAATTCGCCTAGGACGTGGAAAACCGGCTTTAGACGACGACGCGACGCCGTCTGCTGATTGTAGGTGGCAGTCATGCACTGATCGTCATTAAAAACCACTAGTTTTGCGCACACGTCGTTGCGTTGCGTTGTCCATAGAATCGTGTCGGCCGACGACCGTGAATGCCCGGCTTAAGAGGTAGGCTGGCGTTTAGGGCATCGGAAACGCTGCGGTCTGAATTTCGGTTCGGATCCGATGCGGGGTGCACCTTTATACGCGTGTATAGAATGGGGAAGGGGACGTAGCACGCTCATCTCTGTATTGTTTGTTGCCAGATTAGGGGACTTGTCCTTCAATTAATGCTTTTGATATTGCACCTTCGGCGTCGAGTAGTATAGACCTTTTTTCTCATCACCATTGGATACCGTACTAAGCCGATGCGATCAAGACACCTCAAACTGTGGATTATTCTTAACATTTGATAATTTATTCATTCACAGGCAAAACGGTGATTTTTCAAAAGATGCAATATTTCTGTCTCCGCACAAGTTTGTTGGTGGTCCAGGAACCCCAGGTGGGTACAAATTACCGTCTTCAATTCTATATGTCGTTTGTCAATTTTTCTTACATACAAATATTGTAATTTTTATAGACAATGTTTGCTCGAAAATTCGACTTGATTTAGAAATTGTAAACAATGGATACTCATGGGATTAAGCCCCTTTCTGTGCCTAATTTGCTTAGGTCTCAGCCATAGACTCATATCATTATTTGAAGAAATGTCGGCCATATCCATCCTCATTTTTATTTCTTATTGTTATTAATTACGGTACTTTACGCAGTACAAAACATATGATATCAATATGTAAAGAGAATATGATTATATAAAGCGTTTTAATTTATCATTCTAGGTATACTCATAGCAAAGAGACGATTATTCCGTAACTCCGTGCCAACAAACTGTGGAGGCGGTACAGTGCTCTATGTAAGTAGGTCAAAATAGCCGAACTGTTGAATGTGGTTTTCACGTATAAGTCTATAGGAAAACATGTACGTTGTGCCGTAAAATATTTACTAGTCTGACAAACAAATTCAGGGGAGATTTCACTCTGGTATGTATCACTTTAATGGAACATTATATTATTTTAAAAAAAAAGAGGAATTATTTCCTCCCGGATTAAACTAATGAAGATTTATTTTTTACACATATGACTACCGTATAAGCTTTATATAATTTTTTTATTATATAAATATTAAAAACACATTTTTTTTTACGTCGAATCAACGAAAATTTCAAGATAATCTACAAAGATACAATTTTTCAAGATACTATTTGTTTACTATAACAATTTTGCTTCAGCTTAGCATTAGGGGACCGCATTAAATTATGTTAGTATTAAATAGACCTAATCAAAACAATTTTTTCCTGAATTTTGTTAAAGGTATAGGTTTTACAAGAGTATATTTTAATTATATTACTTAACGTGTGTTATATTTTATTGCCACCGATTCTGAATAACTACACAATATTCATATATTCATCTTCCATCCAAACTGATTTAAATATAGGCAGTTTTGCCGCGCTCAGTAAGACAACATAATTTCATGGTTCATGTTAGCGGGTCAACGAAGGACCTACATTGTTTGACGTAATTCATGTTTCTCTAGCCAGATCTGACGAAATATAAAACGGATGAATTATATAGCATAGCAGGGTTTTTGAAAGTTTTAAATTCCTGTGGGATTCCGACAGAGGTATCCATCAGGCATAATTGTATTCCTGGTCTATCACCACATAAGAATCCATTTAACTTAATTCCTCTAGAGAGAAAATAATGTTATCTTAGTTCATTCGCTCTTTATACTTGTCAAACGGTTTTAGAAATCATATATCTACAGTACTACTTAGCCACTGAACATGAACACAAATAAAGAAAGAGTTTGAACGTGCGCACAAACTATTTTTCCCCTTTACTGAATTATGTTACTTTTTAATTAACAATATGCGCTTTTTATTATAGGTAACACGGGATACACACATCTACTTGAAGAACCCTGAGGAGAGGGAAGAGGGTGGGACACCTGCTATCGTGGAGTCTATCCGCGCTGGCCTGGTCTTTCAACTTAAAGATGTAAGTAAAAGCAATAAGCCACATTTAAGGTTAGGCCTATTCAACCGATTTTTATATCAATGCTATTAATAGAGTATTAACATGTTTTTTTACTTGTTGCTTGCAGGCAATCGGAACCGAATTGATAGAGAAGCGAGAGAACGAATTTGTCAAGTAAGTAGGCTTACTATTTACTTTTAGGCCTTTTTTTTTGTTACCGACTTTCGCAAATATAACCGATTATTTTAATATTCGAATTTCACCTATAAAATGAATTATCATTCAATACTAAAGTTGTTAGCTTACAAACAAACAATATTTTTCTCTTTCTGTAATTTTTAATAATATACTGGTATAATTATAAGATAGACAGCAGTACGCCTAATTTCCACTTAAATCGCTCGATTATCAGATGAACAAATGCGGCGAAATTAGTTTATTAAATGTTTTGTTTCCTTAGACTTGCTTTTGAGAAGTTTAAGAAGACACCGGAGATTGTGATCCTTGGAAGCACAACGGCTAAACGTCTGCCGATATTTTCATTTCTGGTCCGACATCCACAAAGCAACAAATTACTGCATCACAATTTTGTGGCAGTTCTTTTGAATGACCTCTACGGAGTTCAAGTCAGAAGTGGTTGCGCATGTGCAGGACCATACGCACAGGTTAGCATCTGATAAATGACTTATTGATTAATAGATCGAGTAATACTAGTATATTTAATTGATTGATCAATTTTTTTGTGTTCTATTTTAAGTGTTTTTTTTTTCTTTTACTTCATAGGATCTGTTGGGAATAGATGAAGAACTCGCTAAAAAATTTACATATTTTCTACTCGACAGCCAGTAAGTAGGCCTAAAAACAGTTTAAACTGTATTTTTGATTTCAGATGTTGAATTTAACATGTAGTTAACATTGCAATTAATGTGTAGCCTTCATTCTTTCATTTATGTGTTGTATAATAAAATGTAAACATCCTGAAGACTCCATCCCGGATTAATAGTCAGTTGTGATACATTCTCAGGCATAGAATGCTGGCTACGCCAGTAACAATAATCATAATATAAATTGATGCGGATATCAACCAACAGCAACTTGCAATTTGCACATCACGAGGTGTACAAAGACGATGACAAACCGAAGTGTACGCATGCGCAATTTGAATTGCTGTAAACTTATCATTTCACATCGCCTGGGTAGGCCTACTCAGATTTTATCCATTTCTTAATGTTCAAGCGCTGAACAAAATAATTTGTATTGTATAACCACCGGCAGACCATTTTATAATGAATGAAATTGATTGATTTTATCTTGTTTTTTAGGGGCCGAAAAGAAATCCATAAAGATTCCGGCGATATAGCAGAAGAGATGGAGATTATGAAGTAAGAGAAAAAAAAAATAGATAAAATCATTTAAAAAACAAGATGTCATTCATTCCTACAACAGCTAAAGCCACTTCTGAAAATTTCCATCCGTTTGGCAGCTTTTTGCAATGGGGTTTAGAGTTACTATAACTCGTATGGTATTATCATTATCTGAGGTTATTCGGAATCATGTAAAATGCTCGTCAGGATAATCTCAGTATTTTTTCTTTCATTTAGGCCCGGATTCACTCGCCTGAATTTACCTTATTTTGCATCGCATGAGGTGGTGAAATACATCCTCGACGCTGTTGTAGATGTAGCCAAGAATGGATGGAAACTCCTACCACAAGTAGGCTTACGTTTTGTTATTGCAACAACAAAACATATAGTTGAGTAGGCATCCTAACTTTCGAATAGTCCTCATGGGTAAAGTTAAATACTCTTTCTATTGAGTATGAGGGCGCTACCTACGTCTTTAGAGTCTACTAAACCGTATAGGTTTTCATAAAATTGAATTATGGCGAATTTTACTTGTTTGATAGGCATCGAGTTAATATAATATGACTTCATGTAGTCTATGCTTTCTAATGTTGAAATCAGCTTCCAAAACCA